GTTTTGTCTGCATGGTAGTTCTCCTTCATCCTTTTCATCTTTTAAATCAGTGGCTGTTAGAAAAACAGTTATTGTGTAGGAAGAGCTCTTGGATTAAGGGGTTTCTTCTGGTTTTGCCTTTTCCCCCCACGTTTCAAAAATAGTGAGATTGAAAAGAGTGTCCTACCTCTGTCAGTCAGGATATTTAATCCTCTTAATAAGCTTTAGTCTTCATGTTTACCTTCTGGCAGCAGGATGCACCATTAAGCTATATATTTTTTTAATATACATTATTTTTTAGTGAAGTGGGATTTGCTCCTTCAGGGGAAGGGTGGTGAGCCAGATAGTTGAGATGTTAGCTTACAGTGTCAAACTGAACTCAAGTTTCCCTGTTGCACTGTATCCTATTTTGGTCAAGTCACTTAAAACCACAGAGTATATCTGTACTGATAAATGAAAAAGGGCCGAGGCATGAGCTCAAGCATTGGATTGATCTGTGATTATCTGCAGTGCCTGTTAGCTCTTTTCTTAGCTCTGTTTTGGACCAGCATTCTCCAAGACAAATTCCTTTAAATCTTATTTAGCACTAAGTAGTGCAGATCTGGGCCGATCTGTACCAGCCGTAGGACCAAAGGTTGCTTTGCAGCACTCTCATATTCAATAATATAGACTTTGCCATTCATTCCAGCTTTAAAACAGAGGTAAGAAGACTCTGCATTGTACAGAAATTGATTACAAATGAATATGAAAACATGCAGGGCACTTATATACTATATTAAGATCATACACTGAAAATAGTAATGACAGAATCTTCGTTGCACATGATCGGATTACTACTTAAATGTTCTGTTTCAGAGAATATTTCTTCTGTTGTGAGGGAGCTACCCAGTTGGCTTATTTACTTTATACCATCCATTATTTTGTGCTAATTTTAATAATAAGAATTAATTAAATTCGGCTCTTCAGGCTGACTTTTAGTTATCTTGTGTTAAACTTAAAAATCTGTTGTGAATTCCTTCTCCCATTTCCAGGTGCTTTGCCACCCGAGTGCATGGTTTGGTGGTAACTGTACCGTACATAGACTGCAAACTTGGGATTCCTCAATCAGAGATGAGTTCTAACACTCACGCTCTTTTGAACTGCTGAGCCAGCTTTCGTATCTCTGCCATGCACAGCCGTGCACTAATGCCCTGTATACACTGATCGTGCTGACGTCTCTGTTTTCTTACAGACCTTTTTTAGTTCTGATAAAGACTGAGCTTTAGCAAGAACAGTGGTGTTGACAACGTGACCAGCATGCAGTGAATAGCAAAGTAATTCACTATGAAGCTGAAATGTAGCTGTGACTTTAGGATTTTACTTCATGTCTCTTCTTGTTATATACTAACAATCACTAGCAAAAGAATTATTTAAGAACTGTGAAGTGTCTTTGCCTTAGCCCCCCGCAGCAAAAGCAAATCAGAAAACACGGGGCAAAGTAGACGGTGGTGCTGCAATTGTGTTCACACAAATGAATTGTTTACTTAAAGCCTTTAAGAAGCGACTTGTTACAGAATTACTTGCTACAGGCACTGAAAATGTCAAAACGCTAAATTTTGCTCATAAATAAGTAAACTGTGATCTTAGGTCTCTGTCTTTCTCTAAAATGTCTTCTAAACATTTTCTGTGTTTTGGAAACCTACAGTAACTTTTAAATCAGAGTTCTTTACTGTTAAATTGTTTTTGACCTTTATATCATTCTTAAAAGGAGAAATGGATTTTTCATTAGTAAATGCAGGTGTTGACACAAGATGATGCAGTTTGGGATTCTCCAGGTTTTTTTGCTACCAAATAATTTGACTATGCATGTCTCAAATGGTTAGTGTCTAGACGATAAAATTCATGACATGGTCAAGTGTAACTTTCATGTAAGGATCCAGCTGTATTTGCAAACTTGTTAGAGTCTTTCCAGTTACTTTCATTATAATTGCTTGCTGTTGTGCTGGTCAGAAGCATGCTTCTAACTTCTAAACTTAATGTCCTTCGTGGTTATTAAATACACAATGTTTATGCCAGTGTTGTTGTTCAGCTTAAATCAAAGATGTCGAGCCTGTTGGCAGCAAGTGACTGCAGTGAACCAGAAGAATTTCCTCCATCCCAAGATTTGTTTTTCTGCTACGTGGTGGGGAATGGGCGGCGAGCCTGGTGGCTGGAGTCGCTGCTGATCCACTCCACGTGAGCTGTCCTCGCGAGCCATCCCTGTCGTGTTCCTAGGTGTGTCTGTGGTGGGACAGAAATCGCGCATCTCTTCTTTTGCATGAAATTGGATTCTGTCGCATTGTAAAAATACAGATGCGTTCCAGATTACATGGCACTTCTGTCAGGTGACTGCAGATGCTTCAGTCACATAAGTGCTATCTGCATTTTGATCATAAAGGATGTGGGCACAGTAGAGGACAGTATTCTATCTTTGCCTCTTGAAAATCTTTTCATGACCTACACTTCTTAAGTTTTCTCTGTTTTTGTTGGAGTAGAGGAAGGATATTTTCCAGATTTTTATATATATATATATATATGTATATTTTACCTTACTAATAGTTGACTGACACAAGAAGAGATAAATAAATGTAGGTACTATTTCAGGTTTCTATTAAAAAGTAATTGATTCACCTGAAAAAAATCAATAACCTTCTGCACTCCTCTTCCTGTACTGATGCAGCTTTCTTGAATGGGGTTTGGTGTTGTGTGAGGTCTCACCAACGCTGTGTACAGTGCCATTAATGCTTCTGTATGTGTAATGGAAGTATTTTTATTTTTGCTCTTTGGATTTTACTTGCCCCCGTGTTTTTCTGTAGTTTGCTGTCATTGTGATTATAGAATCATAGAATCATAGAAAGTTTTGGGTCGGAAGGGACCCCTAGAGGTCATCTAGTCCAACCCCCCTGCAGCGAGCAGGGACACCACTAACTAGATCAGGTTGCTCAGAGCCCTGTCCAACCTGGTCTTGAATGTTTCCAGGGATGGGGCCTCCACTACCTCTCTGGGCAACCCGTTCCAGTGTTTCACAACCCTCATTGTAAAGAATTTCTTCCTTATATCCAGCCTAAACCTACCCTGTTTTAGTTTAAAACCATTACCCCTCGTCCTGTCACTGCTGTCTCTACTAAAAAGATTGTCCCCATCTTTCCTATAGGCTCCCTTTAAGTACTGAAATGCTGCAATCAGGTCTCGCCGCAGCCTTTTCTTCTCCAGGCTGAACAAGCCCAACTCTCTCAGCCTGTCCTCATAGGAGAGGTGCTCCAGCCCTCGAATCATATCTCTAGATTTTTCTCCTTTCTTCCATCCAGCTTACAGCAGAGAGTCATTGTTTTTCTTGAAAATGTGTGCTCTTTCATTTTTATATAGTATTCCATTTTTGTTGTCCACAACCATTATTCTCTTCCAGTATAATAACCTGATTTTTCTGACTTGACAATGCCTCAACACTGTCAGCAAAAAAACTTCACTGGAATATTTTACATTGTGTGTTGTAAATGCTATCTTAGGCCAAGAATGATTTGTATTAGCTGCATTTGGCCAAGACTGAAGACCTGCACTCAGTTAAAACAGCAATTTTACGCATTTTAAAGTTCAAATAAACCTATTGGATTCTTTTCTGCTTTTCAGTTGTTGAAATATACATCAGGCAGTTTGAGGAATGCATTCCAAAGTAGACAGAGAACCTGCAACCTTTTATACATATTGGTACCGCAAGTTTTTATCACCTGGGAGCAAGGAGGGGAAAACACCAGATGTCTTTCTCACTTTATAAACACTGTAAAGGAAATAAGTACTTCCCTGTTTTCATTTCGTAAAACATGGCTTTAACTGTTCAAAAGTTTCTCTTCCCAGTTCTGTGTGTTGATGTTAGTTGAAGCTGATCAAGATTTATTTAAATCTGTTGAGTGCTTTCCCTTAAATTATTCATATGAAAATATACTGAGTTTGTAAGTTCAGCCTTTACTTAGAGACAAAATGTTAACTGAATCTTAGAGATTATTTTGGAAATATTATCAAAGATAAAGTTAGATTTTTACATTATTTATTTACTCCTCTCTTTGCTGCTGATCTTAATACTTTTTAAGATGCAAGGTTTAATATCAGAAGAATATGGACATACCTGATGTTAACTTTTAAGAAATACGTGTCTGTGATGTAACTAGAGGTGATGGTTATAAATTCCTTGCTGTCCTGGGATCGCGTGTTCCAAATCTTAAGGTTATTAGGAGATAACCGTAACATATCAGACACTGTACCAAGCAGCTAGATAGCTTTCTGCTAATACGTGCAATGTGGTCATCATTAGAAACTATTTACAAGGCATTTTATTCTAAGGTAAACATTGTTTGGCTTCATCTATGAATACTCTTAATAATTTTTATTCCAATTTGCAGTAATGGAACCGCTGCAGGATCCGGTTATGCAAGAAGATGCAAATATTAAAGCTATTAATGAAGAGTACAGGAAAGCCTTTATTTTTATCAATAAAGGACTGAATACAGATGAACTGGGTCAGAAAGAAGAGGCAAGAAGTTATTATAAGCAAGGGCTTGACCACTTGGTCCGAGGAGTTAGCATTCCATCGCAGGGTCCGACACGCGTGGGGTCTCAGTGGGAGTCTGCCAGGCAAATGCAGCAGAAGATGAGGGAGACCCTCCAAAACGTTCGCGCTCGACTCGGAATTCTGGAACAAAACAGCCCACCCGTACAAGCAAGTCCTGCTGCTATGGATGCCCCTGCTGGTGTGCCCAGGTTGTACCCATCCATTCCTTCCAAAGAAAAGCCAGAAAGACCCCCAGCTCCTGATTCTCTCTTTGTACCAAGTCAGCCACCTGCAACAGATGGAAGTGTCGCAGCTGTGAGCCAGGGGCAAATTGCAGCTATGAGTCCGTCATCTGCAAAACCTCTTTGTCTGCCAAATGAAGCACCTCCTGCCTATACTCCTCAAGCTACCAACGGCCATTTTACTGTGTCTTACGGCACAGACTCTGGGGAGTTTTCTTCTGTAGGCGAGGACTACTACAGTAAGTGTACTCAGCCACCCCCCCTTGAGAACCTGGGAGTGGATGCAGATGAGCTGATCTTGATTCCCCAAGGAGTACAGATATTCTTTGTGACTCCTGACGGGCAGGTTAGTGCTCCTTCGTATCCTGGATATCTACGCATTGTGAAGTTCTTGGATGCAGATAGCGGCACGGCCCAGAATCGTCCACCTGCGTTTCTTCAGGTAACAGGAAAATAATTTTCTCTTTTAATTAAATTTCAAGAGCTGTTATAAAACTTTAAAAGGCAGTCTTGTTAAGTTCTTGCTCTTCTGAGCCTAAATCTGGGTGATAATATGAAGGATGTTACAGCTGTTGGAAAAATACACACTTTTATGACTTTTTCTGTGAAAATCATCTCTGTGTTTTCCCAAGGTTGTCAGGTGCTGACTGTTCTGGTGAATACCATTTTCTAAAGGAGCTGACTTTTCATTTCATAAAATTAAATTCCCTTTCTTCACATAGAGAAGACCTGTTGATTCACCTGTTGTAACATGTCAGTGTAAAACAAGGTTGTGCGCTACCCGCTTCGTCTTAACTAGTGATAAGGTATTGCATTCTGGACAACTGATAACTTGGAGTTTGTGGGGCTGTGTTAATCCAGACTCTGAAATAAAGAAGATGCGTTGTTTGGATTTTCTCAGTCCGTGCTTGCTTCATGTGAGTGAGCATGTTCTGTAATGTACATTGTGTTTCTGGTCTGGCTTCTGACTTTGGATCTCCTTGTTGCTGCTAAGATTGGCTGTTGGAAGTCTCATCAGCGAAGGGGGAACTTGGAGGAACAAACAAAAACTGATTCCTGATTTTGGATCTGCTGGTTCACCTCTGCCTGCGTTAGCAGTCTTCAACAGTCGGCCAGCAACAGCCATATGTTCCCTTTATCCTACCATATAAACCTCTCCGGAGATCTGCAGGAGGTTACAAGCGCTGTCAGTCCTGACTTGTTTGGCAGTGCTTTTCATCTGCTTCCACCCTGGGCCTCAAGGCTAGACTTCACTTAAGAGGCTACCAGCCTGAATCATAGTTCTGTGGAAATTAGTATTTTCTCTACATTAATTGGAACTAATCAAGAATGATATTTCTACAGTCGTGGGATTTTTGTTTTGGCGTTTCTTTCTTTTTTTTTTTTTTTCCAGGGTATCATAAGGCTTTTTTATTTTTCTTACTAAACTTTATGGAAAACTGAGTTTGTGGTGCTTATCAGTACATTCTGCCTACCTTTCTTTTTAAAAGAATCCTTTAATTCCCTTTCTGTACGTCTCTTTTTCTAGGTTTGTGACTGGTTGTATCCTCTGATGTGTAACCAGTCTCCTGTTCTGTGCTGCAATACTGGAGTCTACATGTTCCCTGACACCATGTCCCAGATACCAGGGTCCTACGTGGGCGTAGTGTTGTCTTCAGAGCTTCCAGCAGCTGACAGAGAGCTGTTTGAGGATCTCTTAAAACAGATGTCTGACCTTCGAATCCAGGTAAATTCCTGGGCTGCCTTTTTTAAGGCAATAAGGAAGGATCAAAATGATTGATATATTCTCCCATTTACATTTAATTGTGTAAAACTGCAAAGTTCTGTGTCTTGCTTGTTAAGCTCACCAGCGAGAAATAGATGATGTAGCCAAGGTTAAGCAACCGAATAATGAAACTGTAGGCTCTATGAGGTGGGAGGAGAAAAATTTTAAAATACTAAACTGTAAGCACAGAGAGGAATTGGAGACCATTTTGTGTATTTTCACTCTTTTTCCAAAAGAGAACATAGGACCCAAAATGAAATTTTCTGTTCAGGAGAAAGCAGGTTTTTTCCTCTGTGTGCACATGCATGTGCTCTCTGTGTAGTTTTGATGGTACTATTCATGCAATATGGTGCCCAAATGTGTTTATAGTTCAAAAATATTAAGCTGCTTCGGAGAAGACCTGTGAAAATAGTGTGTATGTCAAAAATCTGCCTTCAAATGGGATCTCAAAATACATAAATCTAGTGCTTTACTGCAGTAAGATGTTAACAGATAGAGAAAATTGTTAGACTATGGGTTTTTTCTAAGGTGCAATAAGATACAGTGACTGGAAACAAGGTGAAGTATGTTACTGTAGGGGCACCATTTCAGGAAAAAGGGTAATCAATAACTACTTAAATGCTCATAGCAAGACTATATCTTTTCATGAAGGACAGAATCTCGTTGAATCACAAAGATTTGAATGCAGTGATGATGAAGGATCAGTTTGCAGCATCCCGTGTGCGTGGAGTGCTGTTACGTTACAAATCCTGTTGAGTTCAGCAGGGAATTTCACTAGCACAGGAGGCCACGGATTTTTACTTAAAAGGGAAGTGCGCTACAGAATTACGTGATACTTCAGTGCAGGATTTACTGGATAAAATTCTGTAATCTTTCCTGTGTAGAAAGTCATAGTTCAAATTGGGTATCTCATTAGTTCCTTGTTGTCATAAAATTCCATGTTTTTGTTAATGTTCCCTCATACAATGTCACAGGTGCCAGGATCCCATGAGAGAGTAGGGTTATCTTCAGAGCTCACAGCAACTGAGAGCGTGCATTTTGAAGATAAATTTAAACAGATGTCTGGCCACAAAGTCCAGGTAAATTCCAGGACAGTGATTCCAAAATTCTATAGAAAAAAAAGAAGTCACTGAAATACATGTTAGAACTGCTGAGATTCCAGACTTGATTGACACCAGCAATGTATGCTGTGCCCTGTTGGCATTTTTTTTGGTTGGTTTTTTGTTTGTTTGTTTGGGATTTTTTGTTCAGAGCTGATTCAGTTACTGCAGGCTACCACATTTTGCAAATCAGCAGATCTCTGGAGTTTTAAAAACTGTGATATGGCACAAATATTTCAAAGCCTTGTCTGATGGCCGTTTAATGTGTCTGTTTCATATAGTACTCATGAGGATCTAATTAACAACTATATTTAATGTAATTGTAGTATTGATTTACCTGTCTTAGTAGAGAATCCATTTCTGCTCCTTAGTATAATCCTTAGAAGTCTCATTGACTGTTTTCTACATAGTGACCTGAACTGTGGTGTCACTAAATTATATCTGGAACATAGCTTGGGTTTTTTAATGGGATTTTTTTTTTTGTTTGCTTTTTTAGCTATAGCTGTGTATTAAGGTTATTTCTCCTGCCCAGCCCACAAAATATTTTGGTCACATGCTAAAGACCTTTCTTAAATATGAGTTTTTGCACTGCTGTCAAGCAGTAGTTGATGATACAGTACATGGCAGTATACTTGTTAACCTTCTAAGTCTGAATCTACTCTTTTCTGTTAATCTTGGTTTTGATTTGTTTTGCTGAAACAGTCATCTTTGTGCAATATCCTGCTTTTATTTCCAGTAAATCTTTCAGGGCAATCTAAGAATTCCATATCATATCAAATACTGTTCTATATTCTGTTCTGCTCATAGGTTTCATCTATGAATGCTTTCACTTAGACTCTTCTAGACTAAAAAAAAAAGGTGTTTTTCTTTCAATCCATCATTAACTAGCAGTGTTTACAATCACTGAAATGTTGGGCTTTTTTTACTGTTATATTGAAAAAGTCCTAAACATAGAATGTTAATAAAAACCTAAATCTATTACAGAAAGCAAAAAAATTGTAATTAAAGTTTAATTATACATTGTCTGTGAACTGTGCAAAGTGATGTTACACTTGTTAGAAACACTGACCAGGCTGTGGTGGTGGTTGGTGTGTTTGAACAATTAATGTTTGCTCCAGAAACCGTAGTGTTTGACACGAAATCGCAAACAACCCATCCACCCGCCTTTAAATGGGGAGCAGTATCATGCACAGCTTGATGTGTTCCTTGGCGGTGCCAATCTGCAAAAGTATGGACAGCACATAGAATGAATAATCTCCTTTATTTTTGAATTTGGGAGAGAAGGATGAGGAGCAAAACAATCAGAACAGCTGCATTCTTTTAGTGCAGCTGGATTCTCCAATGAAAGACTGCAGTTCCCATACCGAATAACAACAGAGTTGACTTCCCTCTGAGAAGATTAAAATTATGGTGGCCAGGTCTCTTACATTTTTTGCTAGTTGACTTGGACTGCTAGTCTTCCCTACTTGGCTATTGACCATATGGCTGTGTGGGCAAGAAGATCTTTCCATTGTATTTGGAGGAAGAAAGTGTACAGAAAATGCTGAGCTGTCTGCTAAGCTTTTTTGAATGCATAGCGTTTCTGTGCAACAGTACTTGAATCACAGATTTCCCTGGAGTTTCTGTACACTTACCCAAGGAATACACAACATTAGTGTTATTTGATAATGGATCCGTATGATCTAAACCATCTAAAACAGAAATCCTGATAATTGGTTGAGAAATGGACTCTCAGATGTTTACTTTCACTTGTTAGCCTTCAGAAGCCTCTAGTGATGCAGTTAACTTGCCTCAGACTGTGCGTATCCAACCACGACCTGAAGGAGCAGAAAATCAGAAAGAGTTGCCAGAATGGAGCGAGAAAGTTGCCCATGGAATCTTGTCAGGTACTGCTGTAATAAGAGGATTGTGTTGAATATAAATCTCTGTGAGTAACATTTAAACAGTATTTTCACGTAAATGCATGTGTGCTGGTAGAAGCTGTGTGGTCAGGAGGAGTTGTTTACCAGTTCCAGCTGTGATCATCTAAAGGATACTTTGATGAGCTTTATCAAAACAGTGCAGAATTTCAGTCCGTTGCCAGCAGCCTTGTTCATTGCAAATAGGTTAGTCTCCTGATTTGAGTGTATGTTAGCGTATCGCCCATGTGACTCAGACTGCTGTGATAGAACAATTTTAGTCCTGTATAAGCAGTTATATTAAAGCAGGCGTCTGTTGTGATTTCTGCAGATAAACATTTTCTTCCCTCTGAGAACCTTTGTAATGTACTAATGACCACCCGCTGATTGTAATAAATACGAATCTGCTGGGGGCTGGAGGGTTGGGTTGTACATTTTCAGAACGTTAATAGCATTGAGATGTGCGGTTCTGTCACTTCTGACCCAGCTGGGGCTTGGATATCTGTTAAAAAAATGAGTACCTGCATTAAGCTGACATTTGCATGAGGGCTGGCTGTATTAAACTTAAGTGAACTGGAAAAAAAGTGGGTGGTGTAGGAGCAGAAAGCATTACAAGAATTCATGCTGGCCTGTTCAGGGAAGAGTATAACGGCAGGCTGTGTCATCAGGAATGTTTCTGAAGTCAGTGTTGCGGAGGCAGAGGAGGGAAAGCGGTAGGAATCATAGTCTGTAAAATTGTACATTCTAAGAAAACCAATTTTTGCCTTGAAGGTGCATCTTGGGTAAGCTGGGGCCTAATAAAAGGAGCAGAATATACTGGTAAAGCTATCCACAAAGGAGCGTCTAAACTGAGAGAACACATTCAACCAGAAGAAAAACCTCTGGAAGTCAACCCAACTGTAGCAAAGGGGCTGCATGTAGCAAAACAGGCTACTGGAGGAGCTGTGAAAGTCAGCCAGTTCTTAGGTAAAAATTGCCATCTCACAGTATATTATATTTTTGCTTTAAATAATAAATATTCTGTAAAATGAGAGCTCGTTTCTCTAGCCAGTGAAGTAGAGGAGGGACTGACCTGATGAGATCCAGTGATCAGTAGTTCGTGCCTAGTTATCTCCTGCAAGAGATGTGCTTTCGGACAAATACTTATTATATGGCCTTGAGGCATCTTTTTATTTCCTAAAAGAATAGTCTGTACAGTCTTACGTTTGGCATGTTTTTCTAAGTTTTAGAAGTTAATTCAAAAAGGTCTCTCTTTCTTCTTAAGCTGATAACCGTGTATTTTAGAAGCTGTACTGTCACTGGTTACTAACATACACGTTGTGCAACTAGACAATGTGTGTGTGTGTTAAATTTGCACACCTGAAACAAATCTATTAGACGATGTATAAACTTCCAGACAGAAATGGCTTGGTGTTCAGAGGAGCTTGGTAACCCTAGCAGCACTCAGTGACTTCATTATGTTGTTTATTTGCTTTAATGTTTATATTCAGTGTCTAGTGACTCATGCAAGTTTAAAAGCAAATTATGCTGGATGTTGTAAAAATACTTTGAAGAGCATAAGACAAGTCAGGAAAGAAACACAGCTTGTTCTGTATCTGCAAGTTGAGGGTAACAAAGCAATGGAAACAGAGTGTGTGACGTATATGTATTTCTTGTAAAGGGCTTTTTAGCCGTAGGTCCAACCTTATTTGTTTCTTAGGACCTGAAGCTGTACAGAATCTGAAAAATAAGGTTGCTTCTCTATCAGTTGGGTACTTAAGCGTGGCTTGAAGCCTGTCTTTCAAATAAGCTTAGTTAAATAGAAGCAACGCTTAAGACTTCAGTGAAGCTTACTTTTAATTGGGAGTGAGGACTTTTAAAGATGTTCTTACTAAATAATCTGCATACTGTTGTTTTATGGCAGTTGAGGGAGTGTGTTCTATAGCAAGCTATGTCGGAAAGGAGCTGGCTCCACATGTGAAGAAGCATGGCAGCAAATTAGTTCCAGAATCCCTTAAGAAAGATAAAGATGGCAAATCCACTTTTGATGGTGCTTTGGTGGTAGCAGCAAGTGGAGTTCAAGGTAATAAAAATTCCTTACTCTTTTTTAATTGTGTACTTTTCAGTGCTATTAACTGAAACAAGCTGTTCTTCTTTACAGGGTTTTCAACGGTGTGGCAAGGTTTAGAAAGTGCAGCGAAGTGCATTGCTAAAAGTGTTTCAACTGAGACTGTAAAAACTGTCAAATACAAGTAAGTTATGTTTTTATTTGTTTCATCTTCTACAACATACTGTCATTGTGTTTGGATACTGGCAAAAAAAGCTTATGGAAGTGCAGGGAAGCTGACTGAAATACCTGCCTTTCTCTAATTACGCAGCACATGATAAGCTGCTAAGTGCACGGTAATGGGCGTCTCCTGTGCTTAAAAATATGAAATGAGTAAATGTTTGTGGTAAGTATTTTTTAGCTCTCTTCTAGAAGTATTACAGCTTCAGGCTATGCTACGAATAATGTTCAGATTTGTATCTTTGCTCTACAGTATAATGTCATTATGAAAGTAGCTGCTGGTTTAAACCTCTCAGCTCTGATCCTGAATTGATGTAAACTTAGCTAAATTTGAAGAAAGATGGAAGAACTTCAGCTGTCAGCAGGTCTGACTAAAGCGAGATGGTATAAAAAAGAAAAGTGTGTAAGGAAACCTGAGGCATAAAAAGCAATAATAGGATAGCCTTGACTTGCAAAATAAAGATGTTCTTAGAAAAAGATAACGGCGGAATAGGATAGTAACATTTGGGATTAAGAGAGGTTACTAAGATGGTGGAAAGAACAAAGGTGAGTGCAGGTACTGGAAGATGCTGTGGAGAATAAGGGCATATATTGAAATAACTGCAAAACGTGTGAAATGCACCCCTCAAAGTGTAGTAATAGGTATACCAGAAAGTGAAGAGTAAGCAAAAGCATGTAGGTTAAAGGGAATTGGTGATAAGTGTGGCAGGAGAGCTGTTAAAAAGGATTGCTGGAAGTGCATACAGGCTACTGGCAGAAGGTAACAAGGTAAGCATCAGCCTACAGTATTAAGTGGATTGGTGTTCAGGGTTGTGTTGTGATGCATTTCAAATAGGAGGCGAGATAGTGGTGCTTTATTATGTTTGTTTTCAGTAGGAATGTCAAGGTATTGTACTCGTTTCACATAAATTCACATTCATGTTTTTGCTTTAGATATAAAAATGGAAAGTGTGATCAGCAGTCAACAGCCACCAAGTGAAAAACAATAAGTAATTAAATTGTACAGTTAATTACAATACAGTTCAAAATATTTGATAGTTGATCTTTAGAATCTATATAAATGTACAAAAATTCTACATAACATCTCTTTTGGAAGCTGTTTTTTGTTTCAGTGACAAAGATTTCTGACACTCAAAATACTTCAGTAAATGAGCTAAATTCCACTTAATGGAAACAAAGCTAAAGGAGCATCATCACAGTGTTTCTAAATCAATAAAAAAATCAGCTAAAACTGATCTGTGATACCTTTGTGGATGGAATTACAAAGAGATGCTCATCGCATATGTATGCTGATCAGAATTGGGGGAAAGCAAGTGTAGCCCACCTGTTTGGTTTAAAAGAAAGCTACAAATGATCCGAGACAATTATCAAATATTGATCTGTTATCAAATATTAAGAAATTGTTAGTCTAACTGTATTGGATAAGCTGCAGTCTTACTTTAAATGAAGTTACCTGTTTTACTGATGCTATATAAGGCTGGCTTATGATGTTCCTGAGGTGAAAATCATTAATCAAATTGACAAATACTGCACTTCTGCTGTGATATTAATTCTGTGATCTGAAAATTAGATGTTGGTGATTCAAGGCTGTTAATCTATCAGAGAACTAAAACCAAAAAAGCACTAACTCTTTTTATTCAGTTGCATTCTTGGTGCCAGCCATTACGCCGTGGCTGCTGTACTGACAATACGATAGATTTTTGGATTCTTTGATAGTGTGTGCTTCTCTCTAGCCTTATTTTGAGGTCCTCGGAGAATCTCTGGTCATAAGAAGCACAGGGAAAGGCAACTCTGTTAACTGCTGGGATTCTGACGCTGGCAGAAATACTTCCCTTTGTCCTGGTTTGTCTGATTCCAGTGCTCTCCGGGGAAATGTCTGGCTGCCCAGAACAGCTGGAGTTACTGCTCTCGCTATACTGCTGTGCTCCTTCAGTGTGCTCTCGCTGCTGGTGTAGATGTGTACCTTTCTTCACACTTGAGTAATTAACGTGAGACTGCTGATTTGTCACCTAGCACATAAACAAGCTGGACCCACAGCCCAGTGGAGAGACCAGAGGTTTTATCTTGGTAGTTTTCACCGAGTCCTCAAGATAGCTTTGAGCCTTTTGGGGGTTTGTGTAACTTTTTCTCCCTGCCCCCCCCCTTCCCTTTTGCAACTGTATTGATTCCAGGTTACTTCACATAAGTTTTCACTGCACAATGAATTTTTTTTTTGTAGGGGCCTTAGTGCCACCAACATAAGAGCGTAGCTGTGTCAGCAATTCTTTGTACCCAGCAGACCTGTTAGACTGTCTGGGTTAACGTGCTTTGGGGCACAGTGGTGTGCTAACCTCAGTGAGTCTACTTTTGGGAGTTGGAACTAACATGTCGGTGTGTTGCTGCTACACCAGACGTAGTATCGTATTATACCATGTAGACGCAGGCAGAGGTGATACAGGACAAGTACTAAGCAAGCATTGTTCTGGCAGCGGTGGTACCAGCTGAGAAAAAATACGCCTGAGGTGATTCCAGTCCCTTTTTCTGTAAGAGGCTGAACAGTGTTTGCCCTCTTTCCTCCTCAGTGCTGCCCCCCGTGCTACGGTCTGAGAAGGTTTAGCAGCTGCAGGGGTCTAGCTGCGATGACTTAAGTGGGGCAATAGAAGCTACTAGGAGTTTTATCTAAGAATTTGGGTGAAAATGTACTTATAGGCTATTGCACACAACTCCCCGCCTCCACCCCCCTTCTTATGGCTCTATAGATAAGCTTTCTGCTCTTCTCTTCAAAACTTGAGGGGAAAGAGGGAGAAAGGCAAAGGGTTTTTTGAGGATATTGGTATCTTGAAAGAGTAATCTGTCTGATAGAGGAACAGCCCTTACTCAAATGGCTTGGTAATTTCTAATTTTATTAGTAATTACCAATTAGAAATTACAATAATAATTACAGATTATTATTACAAATAATTACAAAATAGAAATTATTGTGGTAATTATTAATTTTATATTATGGTATATATCATATATACCATATATATTATATTATGGTATATATTATTATGGTAATTATTAATTTTATTTATTTAATCAGGCTGTGTGCTTATTGTTTATTCTTGGTAACCCTTAAAATTTTGCTTTCAAAAGAATTCTGATGAGAATAATACTAAGTAAACATGTCTACAAAACTGCTGTCTTAAGGTATGGAGATGATGCTGGCTGTGCTACAGACAACGCTATGAATTCTGCAATCAATGTTGGTGTGACAGCATTTAACATTGACCACATCGGTATCAAAGCTGTTGTAAAGAGAACTGCAAAGGAAACTGGCCATGCTGTGTTAGATGAATATAAAGTACTGGATAATGAAAAGAAGGATAAAAAGTGAAAGCAATGAAAAATTTCTCAAAGCCTTACACTAGAGATCAAACTTCCTATTTAGAAGCCACTGCACTGCTAATCTGCAATTTAACACAAATCACACTGTACTTTTCAAGCAACTGTAGGGAGGCTGTTTGTAGGAGAAAGAGAGAGTTGTCTGAACTCCTTGTTCTGTATTGAACAAGGGTTTTAAACAACTGGATCGGGGCTTTGGATAACTGGAAGGATATGAGTTTGCAGTTAATAAACTTGCCTCTGTAAGCACTTTTCCAAAATATGGAATAGATTAATGTAGAAATACTACTGTGAATATTTTTTATAATACTTTATATTTGTAAAGAAGGTGGTGATACAGAAAAAATAGGATTACTAATTCTGGAACAGATAGGACTTCTAGTTTTGTTTTTTTGACTGTCTTTAAGAATTAGTTTTACTAAAACAGCCTTGTCTTACTAAATATGCACTACTGAAATCAACTTTATGTTTTGTTGTTTTGTAGAGAATTTCCCTTTTCAGCTACCAAACAGCTAATCTTATCCAAAGTTCATGTTAGAAGAAATGAAAGGTGAACCTCGAGTAACTAGGTATTTATTCCCTTTAAAACTATTTTTTTTTCCATCCAGCATATAAGCAAACCAAAGAGATCAAGCATTTCTTCTGAAAGAGGGTATTTGCAACTCTAGAAAAATGTATTCTCCCATTGACTCCGTAAGGAATATACAAAGATCCTTTGAAATTGAGATTTTTATGTAGAGAAGAAAAGTATGTTTTTGCATAAATGAAAGTATTTTTCTTAAAAACGTTCTACAGAAGACACCAGCAACTTCTACGCATTCTGTATTTTTCAACCACTCCAGAAAGATGCAGAGTATGTATCATGGCCTCCTAATGGAAGACATTGTGTATTTGCTTCAACAAGTAGTTCTATCAGTCAGCATCTTTATTCCATTAATTAAATTCATAGTTGCACAAGGTATGTCTTGAAAGGGTGTGAAGACAAGCCCTTTTAATAGATGTGTGTGGAATGGAATAGACACTACTGTGTAGGTTTTTCATCCTGTTCCTAGTGCAGTGTGAAGTAAGTCCATACATAGAACCCTTGAGATGCTTTTACACTGCTATTTAACAGTTACTGATTTTTAAAGCTGCTATACATTGTAATATCAGCTGGACCTGCAGCAAAGAGAACACCATCAATTTATGTCTTATCTCCACTTCATGTAAATTGAGAAAATAATAGTAAATGGTTCTTAGAAAATAATACTTGCATCAGATTGAAAAAACACAGTAACAAATAATGTCTACTAGAATGGGAATAGGTGCACATCTTGTGGTAGCTACTGTAGGTGTGCACTTGGGGTTAGAAATGTGAAACAAAGGATCTAACCACTGGAAGTGTAACTTTGATTTATGGAAATAAAGATGAAATTGAAGTCGGTTAATCTGTGCTTGACTTTTTTATGATGTGAAGCTACTGTACAGATCAGTGAGTGGAAAGGCTAGGACTTCTGAAGTACTGAAACAACAGTATTGGGGTATGGCTACAGTAGAAACAAGCTCATCAATTAGAGCTTAAAATATTTCAGACTAAAAAGATCCCTCAAAAGTATACGGCAACAATTCCTGTTCCTACAGTCTGTCACTTGCCTGTAATCAACTTAAGGCTACTAGAGACTTCACACTAGCAAAAGCATTTTTGTTGTTACGAACTGCACTTACAATAGGGACGTATGTATTTGTATCTTCCTTCTCCCTCCCATTTTGGTTTTGCATACAGCTCGTGCCCTTTAGTTTCATCTATAAACCATCAGAACAACAAGTTGTATTAAAACAACAGTTAAGAAGAAAGTGTTAGTCTTCAAGAGACCAAACTGTAGCATACTGATGGCATTTAAATCTTTATTGCCTCAGTACCAGGCGAGCATTGTTGTCCTGTTCAGCACGCTGTTGTTCTCTTCACATCTACTCAGTCTTTCAAATTTGTGTCAAAGTAGATTAAAGCTAATTTTTTTAATAATGCTTACCCCATTTTACAGTTTTTCATGTGATACATCCATGATGTTCCTTTTTGCACTGGCTGTTGAACTTACCCTGCTTCAGCTGTCACTACTGGGGCCCTGGGCGGCAAATCCATAGTTTTCCCCCCAGTTCCTCTCCTATGTGCAGCAGCCTTCTCTCAGCTCTCCCTTTTATCCAGTACACACACTAAGCTCCCCAAGCCTCATACCTTAGGTTTGTTTTCTATTCCCAGTTTGGTTTTGTTTCTCCTTTGAACACTGAACATCTTTTGATGTATGGCAGTCCTAGAAGTAGTCTTACTAATGCTGTTTACTGAGTGAACTGCTACCCCATTCCTACTTCCAAATTAATTTATTCAAAGTCTTTTCTGCTACAATATTAGTCTCAAATCTTGTCTTGAGAAGATTGCTTTTAATGACCTCGAAGTCATTCTGAGCTACTGCTGTGTCTGGCATCTTCATCATTCCGTAGGTATAAACTGCTGCTCTTACCCCAAGTCTAAACCCCTGCATTTGAACGGATTCCTCTGGATTCCGAGGGTGGGTTGGTCGGTTGGTTTAGTGCTGATTTAAAGCCACTTTAGGATTGTCTATTTCGTAACATTCCCTGACAAACTAAATCTGTAATTCTTTAAAAAAGAATTTGTAAAACTACCACTAAAACATGCTGACCAGCTCACCACATAGCTGACCACCTCTCCAAAGGTCCCAGACTATAGAGGTCTATAGTCCACCCTCCTCAGATCAGATCCAGCTGGAGCACAGTACTCTGTGCCAGTTCTGCTCATGGTTTGATTATCTCCAAGGATGGAGACTTTACAGCCTCTCTGGGCAACCTCTGCCAGGTTTGACTCTGGTAAAGGTAAGTATTTCTCCCTTACATTGAGCCAAAATTTTTTATATGCGCTCAAGTGCATTGCTGCTTATGCTTCCCCAGCACGCACTGGAGAAGAGTCTGGCTTCTCTGTCTGCTCTGCACCCTCCTCTTACGTAGCTGTTGACAGCACCAAGATCTCCTCATGCCTTCTCTTCTCCAGGCTGAACGTAGGCCACGTGTGCCAGCCCCTGACCAGCCTGGCAGCCCTTAGGGTTTGTCTGGGAGGCCAAAGCCAAGCACTCCAGCACGCGGTCCCACGAGCGCTGGGCGGAGGGGAAGAATCGCCTCCCTTGGCCTCCTGGCTACGCTTTGCATTTGATTTTGGTTGAACTTCATTAGATTCTTCTCAGCAGCCTGTTACTCCAGGCTGTCCAGCCCCCTCTGAATGGCAGCCCGTCCCTCTTGCACGGTGACTGCTCCCCTCGATTCATTGGCAAACTTGCCAAGTGTGCTCAGTCTTCCAGGTTGTTAATAAAGAACGAAGAGTTTTGGCTCAGGTGTTGATCCCAGAGTCAAGCAGTCATACTGCTGATCACCACACTTCAAGCCTGATGGCCCAGCCAACCAGTTTTCCACCAACCTTACTTCTCAGTTATCCAATCTGTATCTCACCAATCTGGCTATAAAGGAACTCTGGGAGACTGTATCAAAGTCCTTGGTAAGGTCAAAACACACAACACCCATCAGTTTCCCCTCGTCCACACAGCCAGTCATCTCATCATACCCCGCTTATTGGTGCTACAGAAATAACGGCTTCTTTGTAAAAATTAAATTTTTGTCATAATCCAGATGTTTGTCTCCAGCAAGTTTAAACAACTCTAGCTGTTTATTGCCTTCACATAATACAAAGATATGTATTTAAGTATAAAATTCTGTTTTCAAACCACTTTGTGCTGCGACCAAATTTAATAGCTTTTCTTACTAAAAATTTAGTCTCAAAAATAACATTAAAAGCTTTAAAACAACTAAAGTACATTTATAGGTATCCATATATCTAATTTTAGAAGATTTATTTGGAATAAAGAAATGGAGGAAAACTGATGTGTTGCAAGCACCACCATGTTACTGCAGTAACTGGTAAAAAGATTAACGGTTGGAAGTTTTAACCCACTCACACGAGACATCAGTCCACAAGACGCTTTTGTTCTTCTCTCGCTGCAGCTCCCAAACCATCTGGTGAAGCACACAGTTAGACCTGCTGCCCCGTGCCAACCCAGCCAGCGCTGCCTGGGCTCATCCTGATGTGCGCTGTGAGCTAGTTCCTGAGAGCTAACCTGGTTAGGACACCTAGTAATACCCGAGCTGAGGCTGGGACCTGGAAGTCTTCTGGAGAGGAGGTGACGCTCCTGGGGCAGAGAGAGGGCTCCGTGGCCGGGATACAGCCCACAATTACCCTGTGCTCTCTGTTCTCAGGCTACCTTGTGATTCCAGAGATCTTTCTGAGCCCTCTGAACGTGCCCTCCAGCTGAGAACTCTGCAAGTAGGCCGGTGAAGTTCATCTTGAAGCAGTTCTTCACAAAAACGGGTAACAAGGAAAATGGTTACTGATTGACACATTTGCTGTTAAGATTCAGCACACTGAGTTAGTTAGAAATGCTAAGCTAGGTCCTAGTCAATTATTGGTTTGGTATGGAACATGTTTTCAATATGTCTCTTGAAAAGGTAGCATTCAGTAAATCCTGAAAGCAAAACGAGCAGTTACAGTGCAGCACTCTTCTAAATCTGTGTCTTGATTAAAGTACTTCAGCCAATTTTGAATTCAATCCACACCTCGAGTGATAATTCACTGATTAGATGATAGCACCAATTATAACTTGAGACTGCCAAAAATCACCTGCCTGCCCTAACACATGTAAGACAGGTGAAATTAAAATGACTTTTTCTTCTTACAGTCAAGCTTCTCACCCTCCATCCTACCCCCAGGCACGAGGTCCTGCTGGGTTAGTGACCCTGCTGCTGCAGTATCTGTAAGGTGTTAGGTCGGCCCATTCCAGTGTCACAAACTACCACCTTAGCAGTAAAATACACAAAATTTCAGGGCTGACTTCGTATGGCAACACTGATTTATGCTATATTAAAGTAATGGTAATACATAACCCTCATTTTAAACGCTGAAAGCAGTGCCTCTGTTCCCCAACAAGCTATAGGGGTATTGCTTTTGGCTTGTGCAAACAGAATTACTTCTGAGTGACTGGGACACTACACCCTTTGTTTTTTTCATAGTATAC